CCCCACCAACGCCCAAGTGCCGTCAATTCAAAGGGTTCCCCACACTATGCGGGAGGTAACATTCAGGCATAAGACCATAAGACGAGTGCTCTTGTCGCTCGACGTCAGCAAAGCTTCTGGTCCGGACTTGATTCCTGCCATTGTACTGAAGAGATGTGCAGCTGAGCTTGCTCCAGTTCTTTCGCGTCTCTTCCAGATATCTTATGAATCCGGCACCTTCCCAGAAAACTGGAAATTTGCTCATGTACAGCCCATCCCAAAAAAAGGATCTAAAACCGACCCTTACAACTACAGGCCTATAGCTCTGCTTTCTGTTATAAGTAAAGTAATGGAGAGGTGTATAAATCGCGAGCTTCTGGACTACCTCGAACGTCACAGCTTGATTAGCGACAGGCAGTACGGTTTCCGGCACCAACGATCCACAGGGGACCTCCTAGCTTACGTCACGCAACTGTGGAGTAAACTCATCCAGTCTCATGGTGAGGCTCATGTCGTTGCTCTTGAAATCACGAAAGCGTTCGATCAACTGTGGCACGCTGCCCTCTTGAGCAAACTTCCATCCTACGGCCTCCCAGAAAAGCTTTGCAGATGGGTGGCTGGCTTTATCTCTGGCCGCAAGATATCCGTCGTAATTGACGGATTCTCCTCTTCATCCCACAACGTCAACGCGGGTGTTCCCCAGGGATCGGTCTTGGCTCCAACACTGTTTCTCTTACATATCAACGACCTCCTTTCCTGCACGATCAACCCAATCCACAGCTTCGCTGATGACAGCACTCTACATGCAGGAATTCAGAGTGACAAGCCGATCTCTGCCGCTGAGCTGGAAAAAAGAAGACTAGCGACGACTTCTTCTCTGACAAGAGACCTGGAGGCTATGACTGCTTGGGGACGCAACAATCTTGTACAGTTCAATGCTTCCAAAACACAGTACTGTACTTTGACGAACAAAAAGCGTCTTAGCGCTCATACAGTTTCGATGGACGGTCGAGTTCTACCAAAGAGCCATTCATTTCGGTTGGTCGGAGTCCAGATCACCGAGGACCTGATCTGGAACGAACACATCTCTTCAATAGCTGCAGCTGCTGGGAAAAAGCTAGGCTATTTGTTTAGGGCTAAGAAGTACTTTTCTCCGCATGACCTTCTCACTCTATACAAGGCCCAGATAAGGCCTAGCCTCGAGTATTGCTCACACATTTGGGGTGCTGCCGCCCCAACTACATTGTCCATGCTCGATGCTGTCCAGAGGAGGTCGGTCCGACTGATCGATGACTCTTCTCTAACAGACAGTCTCGGGACTCTTTCGCACCGGCGGGCCGTCGGCGATCTAGCTCTTTTCTATCGCTACACCAACGGGCTTTGCTCCTCAGAGCTCTCTTCCATGATGCCGCCGCGCGATGTGCCTGCCAGACAGACCCGCCTGACTTCGGCGTCCCATCCTAACCGTGTCAAACGTCGTACATCCAGAACTGGCCGATACGACCGCTCCTTTATCCTTTTCCTTTTAAAAAAAAAAAAGAATGAGAAGTTTTGGCTTGTTTTCATACCGGCCACACTGGGTCCTCCCTTTAACTCGAGAACACCCACGTAATCGCCTTGAGTGGTGCAGACAACGGTCACTCTGGGATCAGGAATGGAACACTATTGTCTTTAGTGACGAGTCTCGATTTTGTTTAGGCATGCACGATGGTCGTGCAAGGGTTAGAAGGCGACGTGGTGAAAGGAGGAATCCACAGTTTTTTGTTGAGAGACATGTTCATCACACTGTTGGAGGTATGGTTTGGGGTGCTCTAGCTTATGGTTCCAGGTCACCTTTAATCTTCATCAGAGGTAACATGAACGCGCAGCGTTATATTCACGATGTTCTAGAACCCCAACTTTTACCCTTACTTGACACCCTGGCAGATCCAACTTTCCAACAAGATAATGCCCGACCACATGTTGCAAGAGTCACAATAGACTTCTTTCAACATAGTGATGTCACATTGTTACCATGGCCACCAAGATCTCCCGACTTATCCCAAATTGAGCACGTGTGGGATATGATGGGTAGGAGATTGCTCAATTTGCAACGTCCTCCTCAGACTCTGGAAGCACTTCGAGAGGAGTTGGTGGTTACCTGGAATGAGATACCACAGGAGGACATTGACCACCCGATCAGAAGCATGCCTAGGCGCGTTGGAGAATGCGTAGCACATCAGGGTGCATCCACACATGATTAAAGGTCAAAGGGCTTTAAAGCAGTGCAATCATTTTGAAATTTTTATCATTTACGTTACTTATTATGCTTCATTAAGTACTTATACACAATTTTATTAAAATAAAACCATTTAAACGGGGTGTTCGGATTTATATGTCACTTAGTATATGAGCAGCGTCGAAGGCTTTATTTAGAATGTGTACTAGATCTACACTATCTATTTAAAAAGTTGATAGTACCTTTACAACGAATATTAATGCGTTGCTTGTCTTTATGAAAAAAATAATGGTTATGGCATTAAACCTAAAAAGGTGACAGCAGAAACTTGGGTTACGGTGAAGTTGTATATCTATAGAGGGTGTTTTCAAAGCTGAGTTATTTATTTTAACTGCTCGTCAAAATGAGTTGATATACCAAAAATCAGCTATATAAAAGTTGCATAATAAAAGAAACAGTAAAAGATTAAAAATTTAAGAGATTTTTTGATATTCTCGTTCGAAGTCGTGTGGAATCTAGGCGTTCTTTGTTTACTATTCCTATGGTGTATCTAAATTTGGCAAACCTTTTGTGTGATTGTGTGTTTACCAGTACGAGTCTTTGGTTGGATCAGTTGCTAAACTTTCAATTGTCTGATTATTTTGTGCGAAGAAATGGCGCATATTTACGAAAACACTGAATTAGTGGACATAGGTTTAGTTTAGTATATGATTTTGTTACAGTCGTGTTAAGGAATGTCACTTCCTATTATCTCAAACGAAATCGTTTCCAGTCAATGCACTGCACTGCAGTGTCTTAAATTCGGCGCTGGCGATGGCGTAGGCGAGTAGGGTAAACTGAGACAAGAATCTGGTGCGACGTAGATAAATTGCGTTGCAACAGATGTGACTATGTGTTAGTTCACGTTCAAGCGCGACAGCTGGAAAATCGTTAGCCAACTGAAATATCCTTGTCTCTGGATCTGCACGCGTGTACTCGTTCGTTTGCAGAACGCTCTGCCGAAGACGAATTGAAAACAATTTGGATAAGGTTGGTGTAGTGACGTGCGAACACACATCGAAGTAGATTGAAGATTGATCATGTTGTGAAGTTTTCGTGATGCAACTAACAAGAAAATTAATTTTGTTTGATTGTTATCTGTTTCAGTATCTTAAAATGCTGCCCAAACTGACAAATATACTCAGTGACATTAGAAGTGTGCTCCACCCTGAAAAAGTAATTTCTTCAACTTGTTTTTTTGGCAACATATTTAAAGCAATAACAATATCAACGTTTTATCTTTTATATCTTACAAGGCACACGTCCTTTTTCAGCAAGCCAACGCACATCGCCATACTGCTCGTCGTACTACGAACTTTCTTCTAGAAGCAGGCGTTAATGTTTTTCCGCGGCCACCCCGTTCAACGGATTTAAATCCCATCGAACAGGTGTGAGATATGATGGGGAGGAGATTGTCCGCTTTGCACCATTCGCCACAGACTCTGCCACGAAGTTCGAGTCGCTTGGAATGAGGTGCCTCAACGAGACATCGATCATCTAATTTTGTCGATGCCTAGACGTAGGGAAAATCGGGCAAAAGGAATCAGCTAAATAAATGAAAACAGCTTCATCACAGAAACCTGACAACGCTGTTTAACAATTCGCTGAGTATGGCACAAGTTCATGCGCAACGCGTTCCCTCGTGCTAAAGTTTTTACCTCATATTTTTTAAGGTTTTCTAATTAATTACGTCTTGAATAGTTGTTCAAAGGATTTTTGAAGAAGGGTAAGTAGTGACTCAGCCATTTATTCAAAACGATTTAGTTAATAATCGAAAGATTGGCACTTCTACTTTTCTACCTAACCTTGAAAATATGTCCATTGTTGCCAGCGTCTCGTAAATTTTTATTTCCTTTGTGACAGTGCATTTCGGGCAAGAGGAATCAGGCAAAAGGGATCATGATCCCTTTTGCCCGTATATCAATTTTCGATTTTCATGTAGGTATGTAATTTTCGCTTCTTTCTAGATGGTTTTCAACTATAAAAGAAAGTCGGAACGAGGAAGCACCTGGACAGAAACATCCATGGAACATGCATTGCAAGCAGTGCGTAACGGGGAGTCGATAAGAAAAGCGTCTTTAATATATAACATTCCATTCTCAACGCTCCTTAAGCATGTGAAGTCTAATAAAACTACTAAATCTCTGGGCAGATTTAAGACGGTTTTCACTCCAGAAGAAGAACAAGAATTTGTTACCCATATCAAAGAGCTTGATAGCCGTTTTATGGGCTTACGCGACGAGATTTTTGTGTGTTAGCATATCAATACGCCGAAGCGAACCACATTATTCATTGTTTTAAAAATAATGCAGCGGGTCAGCAATGGTATCAAAATTTTATGAAGAGACATCCTGAGTTAAGCTTACGGACACCTGAGCCGACCAGTGTTGCACGAGACAGTGGCTTTAATCGCCCACAAGTGGAGAGGTTTTTCGAAAATTTGAGGGACGTCATCGAGAAAAACAATATTTTGCCTGAAAATATGTACAATGTAGATGAGACAGGGATCCAAACCTCTACAAATAGGCCTCCTAAGGTTATTTCCCTGAAAGGCAAAAAGGGAGTTGGAGCTATATCTTCCTCCCAGCGAGGCGCACTAGTAACGGCACTGTTTTATTGTTCCGCTGCTGGGGCATATATTCCTCCTACGCTAGTTTTCCCAAGGAAAAAGAAAAATCCAAGGTACATGGAAGGAACTCCACCAGGCTCTTCTCAGTTAGTAACTGATTCTGGATGGATAAGTTCCGAAGCTGTCCTGGAGTGGATGAAGTTTTTTGTAAGCAACGTTAGACCAAATGAAGACCATAAATGTCTATTAATCTTAGACAATCATGCTTCTCATAGGTCTATTGATGTCCTTGATTATGCCTCTCAGAATGATGTCATCATTTTGTCGGTTCCAGCCCACACGACACAACGCGTTACGTTGTTTGATGTAGGCAAAATTTTTAATAATGCCTACCTTAAAGCTGCAACACCAACAAACGCTATAAAAGGTTTCGAAAAAACTGGCATTGCAAGATGTGATTTAGATGTTTTTTCCGAGGTGGACTTCCTTCCAGCAGATGTAACTAACATTGAAGAACCAGAGGTCCGTATTAACCATAATCCTCAAGATATGGATGTTATTGAAATTGGACCGCCCAATACATCTGCCCATAATGATACCGCAAAACCTGAACCTTCTGGTCTCAATAATAGTACGACCTTAAAGCAAGCTAGTGACGCTCCAAAAGGAAATAATCGCATTAAAATTATTGATATTCATATTATACCTAAATGTGATAAACGAAAAGAACCCAAAACAAAAAGGAATCAACAGAAATCAGAGATTTTGACTTCTACGCCAATTAAAGAAGAAATTAGAGAAAAAAGTAAGAGCAAAGAATGTGTCAAAAGCGTTAGAAGGAAGATCCAACAAGAGACAGATTCCAGCAAACTGAAAATACCTCGTCCACCTTCACCACCGAAAACCGCTCCAGATGAAGAAGAAACTCCATGTTTGATATGTGACGATTCCTTTGAAAACTCAATTCCAGGCGAACACTGGATACAGTGCAATTTCTGTGAGAAGTGGGCACATCAGAAATGCACAAGCTACAAGACTGGAATTTATATTTGTCAAGATTGTCAAAATCAGGTCAAAGATCAGAGAACATAATTGAGTTAAGAATAATTATAGAATACCTTTTTCAGTTTCTACTAATAATAGTTTTTTTTATTTTATATATATCAAGATTAATAAAATCAGGTTAAAGATTAGAGAAAATAATTAGGTTAAGAGAATAATTATTGTAAGAGTTACCATTTTCAGTTTTCCTTAATGATAATATATATTTTTCTATTTTCCATATTATATTTTTTCTTTTGAATCCTTTTGCCCTCACCTGTGATTCCTTTTACCCTAGAGGGTCGGGCGAGACTACAGTGTTCAATACCAGAAATTTGGGACTCATCTATCGATATTTTCATGTAATACAACTCAAATAAAGTTTGTAGACAGTGTTTGTATCATGTGATTATGTATATTCATAATAATCATCCTACAAACTACGAATACGTTTCAGTAGATGGATAAGATTTCACCTAAAATGTAATGATAACATTATTCTTTCATCTGTGACAGTTTTCCTCAATAGCATACTAAATATTTGAGGTGTGATTATGCAAAAAGGGCTGAATATTTTCCCACTACATGTAGCAGGAGGATATCCCAAAGATCAGAATACCTTCAATATATTGTCTGAAATGATATCTAGAATGAGTAATTTGGTTAATGTCTGCTTTTAGATTATTTCTCAAAAAATAATAATGTCTAACGTCTTTTTCATTTGTAATAACATTAGAACCCCCTTAACAATGTGATATGCATATAAACTGAAAATTTGTTGAAAATTCATACCTGTATACAATAACGACAAAATAAAGTATAATCAATGTAAAGGCATAAAGAAAACATAAGGTCAGTTAACAGGTATGGGTTACAACAGATTTTGCTGCTGGTCAACTATAATTTCTTTTACGTTCTCCTTGAATTTAGGTAATGAATTTGTTTCTTTTAAACTACGGTCTGAAAAACTATATAATTTGATCGCATTGTAAATATATGTATTCTGAAATAGAGATGTGTTATGGGGTGGAATTGAAAAAGTCTGTCTATATCGGATACTAATACCATGGGCATTTCCTCTCGTATGAATTTGGTTACTAAATATGACGGTGTTTTTTTTTGGTTACTAAATATGACGGTGTTTTTGAACAAAAAGCCCTATGAGCCAGACTTAGGAGCGGGTATTTATATATATTATTAATTTTCATCCATTTGAGGCCATTAATGGCTTTCGGTATGTTATCATATTTTCTGAGATCATTTAGAAGTCTTCAACATGTAATCATAACACTTTAATTACGATTTCTTGTTCTAATATTTAAACAGGGATAGTAAACCACTAAGCAATATGATATTTTTGAAAACAAGAAAGATTCACACAATAATTGCTTTTTCGCAAATTTATGTACTAAGGTCTCACTTGCAAATAAAACTCAGAGAATCGCGTAGCTCTGAGAAACTGGATAGTTTACGTATTCAACAAATTTTGAGTCATCATCCATTATAATACCTAAGTTCTTCGAATGATCCACAGCTACTATTTTATCACCTTAAATGTATGTTTATGTTTTTTAAAGCACCCCTTTTTGTTTTATTTGCCACTATACCAACATATTTGCCTTTAAACGGTTCAAACAGAGTATGACTACTATTAAACCTTCCAATTTGGGAAAGGTCTTGATTAATTTTATTATTAGCTGTTTCCAAGTCATTAGTCCTAAGTGAATATAAAATCGTAGGCAAAAAAATTAATGCTGCCTGATTTTTACCTCTGTTGCTAAATCTGAGATATATAATGAAAGCCACAGTGGTCCTAACACAGAGCCCTGTCGTACACCAGAACCATTTTTTTGTACGGTGAGGTACTGCTGATTTAGATGAACTTTTTGAAACCGGTTTTTAAGGTAAACGAAAGAGGTTATTTAGAGAATCCATGATAGCGGCGTTTAGACACATAAAGTGAATGATTAATTCTGTCAGAGATCAAGAAATATGACAGCTGCCGCTTTTTGGTTGTCAAGCGCCATTGTCATATTGTCTGTTAAATTGAAGAGTGCAGACACTGTATTATGACCTTGTCGAAATCCATAGTGTTTAAATGGAATTGTCTTGTTTCAAAAACTCTATCCAATACGTTTGAGAAGATAGGCAGTAAACTGATCGGTCTCAGTTGACCATATTTAGTAGGACCAGAACGCTTAAGCAGCGGAATAACTGCGTGTTTCTACTGACCTGGGAAAATCTCAATTTCAACTGGCTTGGAGCGCACCTTTCTGTTATACTGCCCTTTTAGGCAAATCCTTGGCGCTAACATATGATACACAATTCTGGCAAGCATGGTAGATGCCCTTAGGCAACGACAACACTGTATCTTGTTGAATAGCAAGTGCTAAAATCCAGAAAAAAATCGTTTTTCGTAAATTGCTTAAATGTCCTCGACCTATTATGTTCTTTGGGTTAAGCAAGTAGAAATACAATCTCTTTGTTATGCGAATTTTTTTCGTATCTTGCTAGGTTTTCGGGAAAAAAAGTCCACTTAAATGCATGTCCCTGGGCCACACAAGGAATATCAGAAAATTATCTTTTGGAAACTATTTTTTTTATAATTTTTTATTACTAGTTATTTATCTTGTACTCGCTTGTTGAATGACAAAAATGTTTCTAAATAGTATAATCAGCAGCCTGTGACGGGATCCATGGACAATTACAGTCCGACTTTTCTCTATTTTGTTGTAACACTGAGTTTTTTGGCATAATTGGAAAAATCTCGAGAATATGCGAACCATTGCAAAAGATGTGTGTCTACCTATAATGAGTAAATGAATGTATGATAGAAACAGGCCTAATAGAAGGCACTGCCTGTCCATGGACCGATAATTTTAAGTTGCAACTGTAGAATACAAATTGCCAAAAAGAGCCTTGAGGATATCCCGCATATTTTACACCCCTTTTGCTGGCATTCGTTAACCCTATTCGACTTTCTTTTACGACATTGTGGATCCACTCTGTTAATTGGTTGAAGCCGTTTGGTATTGGCATGCGCAACGTTATCTCGTAAATTCTTTTTTATAGCTTACGACTGTATTCGATTCCACGACCATAAAATTTTATACTTCTTAACGAATAAGCAATTGGACCTTTGCTGATTATGTGTGGTCTTTACCGAGTCATTCTGTACATTAATTTCACACGCTGTGTCCGTTTCGTATTGCTTCATCACTTTAATTAATTAATAGTAATTAATTAATTAGTTGATATGCATTTTCCGTCCACATTTATTTATTTATTTATCACAATTTAGGGTGTTCCCAGCCAAAGCCAACACACCCACTATGTTACAATATATACTAAGTGACATATAAATCCGAACACCCAGTTTAAATGGTTTTATTTTAATAAAAGTTGGTGAATGTATTTATCTTACTGTAAATAACAAGTGAAACAATTTTCAGCCTTATCAGTTGGACATTCCGGTTTTTATACTGCCTTTTTTTAAATTCACTAACGCTCTAAAAATGAATATTTCAGCCGCAGTAAAGAATCAACGTTGGCGGATTTTGGTTCTTGACATCCTTTACGATCGGTTACGATGCCTAGAGTACGGAGACCTGTACGATTTCGTCAACTTAGTGAGTTTGATAGGGGCCGTATAGTGGGACTTCGGGAAGCTGAACTTTCTTTTCGGGCAATTGCAGTTAGAGTGCAAAGAAGTGTAGACACTGTGGTTAGGTGTTGTCAGGCATGGCTTCGAGAAGGCCGTACGCAAAGAGCAAGGGGCACTGGACGCCGCCGTAGAACAACAGACCGTGGAGATCGCCGCGTAAGGTTATTGGCCTTAAGGGACCGTTTCTCCACTACCAGCTCCATTGCAAATGAATGGTTTGCAGAACACGGAAGACCTATTGGCATGCGAAGTGTTTACCGACGAATGTGAAGTTTTGGCTTGTTTTCATACCGGCCACACTGGGTCCTCCCTTTAACTCGAGAACACCGACGTAATCGCCTTGAGTGGTGCAGACAACGGTTACTCTGGGATCAGGAATGGAACAGTATTATCTTTAGTGACGAGTCTCGATTTTGTTTAGGCATGCACGATGGTCGTGCCAGGGTTAGAATGCGACGTGGTGAAAGGGGGAATCCACAGTTTTTTGTTGAAAGACATGTTCATCACACTGTTAGAGTTACGGTTTGGGGTGCTATAGCTTATGGTTCCTTATTAATCTTCATCAGAGGTAACATGAACGCGCAGCGTTATATCCACGAAATTCTAGAACCCCATCTTTTACCCTATCTGGACACCCTGGCAGATCCAACTTTCCAACAAGATAATGCCCGACCACATGTTGCAAGAGTCACAATAGACTTCTTTCAACATAATGATGTCACATTGTTACCATGGACACCAAGATCTCCCGACTTATCCCCAATTGAGCACGTGTGGGATATGACGGGTAGGAGATTGCTCAATTTGCAATGTCCTCCTCAGACTCTAGAAGCACTTCGAGAGGAGTTGGTGGTTGCCTGGAATGAGATACCACAGGAGGACATTGACTACCTGATCAGAAGCATGCCTAGGCGCGTTGGAGAATGCGTAGTACATCAGGGTGCATCCACACATTATTAAAGGTCAAAGGGCTTTAAAGCAGTGCAATCATTTTGAAATTTTGATCATTTACTTATTATGCTTCATTAAGTACTTATACAAAATTTTATTAAAATAAAACCATTTAAACTGGGTGTTCGGATTTATATGTCACTTAGTATAATATCAGTAATGTGTAGAAAAGTATGAAAACGGTTAATATGATGTGATTATTGATTTAAAATACACCGTGGGTACACCAATTTTTGTGAGAAAACTTTGTACTTGACAACACAGAATGAGAAAACGTGTTTTTTTGGGATTCAATCGAAAGTGTTGACAGGCACGAAAAAGCATTTCATACAAGATGAGACCATACGTAAAAAGATCAGACTAATAGCAAGAAGTTATGGCCGAAAAACGAGGCAGGTTTTGGCGCTTATTGGTAATACGACGATAATTTCACGCAACTACTTGAAATTTTTCAGGTCCGTAGGATTCGTACTTCTAAATAACAACAAAATTGAAGTATATAAGTAGTCTAATTGTTTATCCCAAAACACCTGCTTTCCGGCCATCACAACTAGTTTATTGGGCAATATACAAGGTTCTTTCAAAGAGCATTTAGTAGAAAAATACACATCTTTACCTTGCCGATATGCGGAAAACAAAGGTTACATTTTCTTCTTCTAAATAAATTCAAACATTTCTTATGTGTGAGTAATTGAACAAATGCGCTACGATATTCGAAAAACATATGTTACTATACACACATTTAAAACAAAGCCGATGTCCATCAGCCTTCGTTGTGAATTACTCACAAATACGAGATGTTTGAATTTCTTTAGAAGAAAAAACGTAACCCATCCTTTTTTGCATATAAATAACATTTATCTTCCGGAACGGTTTGCGATTCATATCGGCCAGGTAAGCTAGTGTATTTTGCTATGAAATGCCCTTTCAACTAACCCTGCATATTGCTCAGTAAACTAGTAGAGATGGCTGGAAAACAGCTGTTTTGGAATAAACAATTAGGACTTTTCAAAAACTCTTGACCGATCCAATTTTGTTGTGGTTATA